AGGGGTGCTAATACATTCCCCTTCCGTAACCGACTCCCGAACCCTGAGACATGGTTATGATGACTTTTCTTTCCCTTTTTCGTTAGGTTTTTCTGATCGTTTCCTTTCCCTATCTTTGGGATAAATAACGAAAGCTGGCGACTCTTCTGTCATTGCCGACACCTTTTTTTGCAGTAGCGGCACGTAGACACAGTGAAAGCAAATGGTGTTAATCCCAAAGCCATAAGGTTGCATCTTTTTCCTTTTTCTTTAAGAGATAAAGCTAGAGCTTGGCTTCATTCTCTACCATACAACTATATCACTACATGGAACGAGTTAAAGAAAGTCTTTTTATCATGATACTTTCCACCCAACAAGACTTCTATAGTAAGAGCCCAAATCAACGGATTTAGGCAGAAAGATAATGAATCATTTTTTGAAGCTTGGGAGAGATACAAGGATATGTTGAGGCTTTGCCCATATCATGGACTTGAACCATCACAGATTATCCAAACTTTCTACAATGTTTTAATGTACAACACCAAACTAAACATAGACACTGCAGTAAGCGTCACTCTAATGGACAAAGCTTATGAAGACACATATCAACTTATTGAAAACATGGCACAAAACCACTTCCAATAGGGAGTTGAACGATATCCTACAGAGAAACCACCACTGAAGTGTGGAATGTACGAAGTTAATGGCATATACCACACCAATGCTAAAGTAGATGCACTTACTCAAAAGGTTGAGAGTTTGACCGTAACTCCAGCATCTACTGTATCTGTTATGACACCTAGTTGCGAGCTATGTGAACACCTGGGAATAACACTCTTGAATATGGTTTATTTGCTGGAATTCCAAACGACCAAGTGAGTTATGCCCAAGGAAAACCATACTCAAACGCATATAATCCTGGCTGAAGAAACCATCCTAATTTTTCCTATAAGAGCAACAATGCTTTGTTTGCTTCAAACCCAACACTTGTTGTTCCTCTAGGTTATAAAAAAGGAGCCCCCACTATTCCTCAAGCACCTAGAAAGTCAAATGTTGAACTAATGTTGGAGAACTTTATCGCAGCCCAAACCCAACAAAACAAAGAGTTTTCCAACCAACACCTTCATATAAGTGAGCTAATGAAACAATTTTTGAGTAAGGTTGGCGCAATGGCTACCCATAACAAAATGTTAGAAAACCAAATTTCTCAAGTGGCCCAACAACAAGCAGCAACAGCAGCCTCAACTGGAGTATTTCCTAGTCAACCATAACCTAACCTGAAAAATCATGCTAATGCTATCACACTGCAAAGTGGGATAAAATTAGATGGGCTAGTAGATCCTAGAATCCAAAATCCACCCATGTATCAGAATCATGGAAAAGAAGTTGAAAAGATAACAAACAATGACCAACCTGAAAAACTAACTGACAATGGCAAGAAGACAGAAACTGAGAGGCAGTAGAGAAAGAAAAACCATATGTGCCTCCACCACCGTATAAACCACCCATTCCTTATCCTCAAAGACTTTCCAAGTCTAAAAACGAAGGAAAATTTAAGAAATTTGTAGAGATTCTGAAACAGCTGAACATTACAATACCTTTCATAGAAGCCATTACTCAAATGCCTTCATATGCTAAGTTTCTTAAAGAAATCCTATCTAATAAGAAAAAGCTTTAGGATAATGAAACAGTGACACTCACTGTAGAGTGTAGCGCTATAATTCAAAACAACATGCCCTTAAAGTTAAAAGACCCAAGTAGTTTTTCCATACCATGTGTAATAAGAAAGTTGTCATAGACAAAGCATTTTGCGGCTTAGGAGCCACTCTTAGTTTAATGCCCCTTTCCATATGTGAAAAACTCAAATTAGGAGAAATAAGACCAATGAGAATGCCTCTCAAACTAGTTAACCGTTCTATTAAATTTCCTGTAGGTATGCTAGAGAACGTTCCCGTCCGAATAGGTCAATTCTATATTCCCACCAAGTTTAGAATTATGGACATAAAGGAGGATTCTAACATTCCAAACATATATTAGGAAGACCCTTTTTCGCCACTGCTGGCGCCATCATAGATGTGAAGAAAGGAAAGCTAACCTTTGAGGTTGGTGAAGAAAAAGTTAAATTTATTTTTGTCACAATTCCTAAAGAAACCAGCTATAGATGATTCTTGTTGTTCCTTAGACATCATCAACGAATGCGTAAGAGAAATGAAGATGGAACCACCTAAGTATACTGAAGCACAATAGATTCCAGCACCTTCTATATTTGAAGATGATGAATGGCGAAATCCATATGTGGATGAAAGTCTAAGTGAATGTCTTGCACTTACTCCAGGTCCTATGCCTTTCCCAAAGAAACCTTCTATAGAACTTAAAACACTACCAAAAAATATGAGCTTGAACGTCCAGTAATAGTCAACGCAGACTTAGAATAGATAGAAACTGAAAAATTATTACATATCTTAAGGAAATACCCTACTATTTTAGGCTATAACATCTCAGACCTAAAAGGAATTAGTTCCTCTTTGTGCATGCATCACATTATGCTAGAAGAGGACTCCAAAACCTCCAGAGAACACCAGAGGAGAATTAACCCCATAATGAGCGACATAGTTAAGAGAGAGGTACAAAAGCTATTAGAAGCATGGATTATATACACAATATCTGATAGTAACTGGGTCAACCCAGTACATGTCATGCCCAAGAAAGGAGGTGTTGCAGTTGTCAAAAATGAAAAAGGTGAATCTGTAGCAAAACATATTGAAACTGGGTGGAGCATATGCATTGACTATAGAAAATTAAATAAAGCCACTCGTAAAGATCATTTTCCCTTATCTTTTATCGACCAAATTCTCGAACGATTGACCAAACATTCTCATTTTTGTTATTTAGATGGTTACTCAGGATTCTCCCAAATTCCTATTCATCCTGATGACCAAGAAAATGCCACTTTCACATGTTCTTATGGCACATACGCCTATCGATGAATGTCATTCGGACTATGTAACGCTCCTGCAACATTCCAAAGATGCATGATGGCTATCTTCGTAGATTTTCTAGATGGCATCATGGAAGTATTTATGTATGATTTTTCAGTTTGTGGGCAGAGTTTTGAAGGGTGTCTAGCGAACCTAGAAATGATACTTGAAAGATTTGTAAAAGTTAATATTGTGCTCAATTGGAAAAAATGTCATTTTATGGTTCGACAAGGAATCGTACTTGGACACACAGTGTTCGACAAAGGGATTGAAGTATATAAAGCTAACATAGAAGTTATAGAAAATCTTAAACCTCCAAAAACCGTTAGGGAAATACGTAGTTTATTAGGACACACCAGTTTTTACCGACGATTCATTAAAGATTTCTCTAAAATATCTAAACAACTAACTGATCTGTTAATGAAAGACGTTGAATTCATCTTTGATGAAAAATTCTTAGAGGCGTTCCAACTATTAAAACATGCTTTGATTTCTACACCTATTATGCAACCTCCTAATTGGAGCAGACCCTTTGAGATAATGTGTGATGCTAGTGACTATGTTGTAGGAGCAATCTTAGGACAACAAAAAGACAAGAAAATTTATGTGATTTATTATGCAAGCATAACCTTAGATGAAGCACATATGAACTACGCCACAACAGAAAAGGAACTCCTAGTTGTTGTGTTCGCATTAGATAAATTTCATTCTTACTTGGTAGTGTTGTACACCACAATTTTCCCTCATGTTTCTAACCCTAATTGGTTTGTGCTTCACATTCATATGCATTATCCACTAGGTCATACATCTCACAATCATTCATTTACATGAGATCCTAAGGCATGGGATCAATGCCTTCTGAAGAATCAGGGTTTTCTATTGGGCCGATTTCTATTTCATTGAAGATTAATTCAACTAGCTTTAATTCTAGACAAAGCCTGCATATTACCAACCGCATTAACATAACATGTTTTAGCATGAACCAAACAAGAATAGGTGAAGCTACAACTTCCATGCAGCTGACAAGGCCTACATATATTTCACTAGTATTGTTTCCCTGCAAGCCCAACAATATTTTCATTGTCATATTGTCATACGTTTACTCCAAATCAAGAAAGAGATGCATTCATCATAACAATAGAAATGCATTTCTGGACAATATTACAAGTTTATAGACAAATGCAAACAGTGAAAAAAGATGAGAAAAATTGTCTAAAACAAATCGATGAGATGGTATTTGTTCCAAATTGATTATACTCTGAGTTGTAGCAATCAGAGAATAACTTGCAATAATAGCAAGCAACTATTAGCTATTATCATTACGATGAATAACAAAAAGGAGAAATTAGATGGTATCTATACCTATGAAGCCCAGACACCTCTAAAAGTAGGTGTGTCGCGGTGTCCGACACGTGTCGATGTCTGACACTTGTATGACACCCGTACGACACGTGTCAGAAAAGTCAAACAAATGTCCCCAAAAAATTGGCTTTTTTTCTTTGCTTCGTCGCATTTTGAATCGATGTTCTATACCCATATGAGACTCATACAACACGTGTCCGATAATTCAAACAATTTTTTTTAAATTTTATTTTTCTTTTCCTCAACACACTTTATACATTTCCTAGACAAATCTCACTTACGATTAAAAGGGTTAAACATGTATTGAAACAATGTTATCAATTAAGAATTAAAGACGTTAATTTTAATTAGAATATTTTTAACTCTTTTGATATTAGATGAATAAATGAAATTAAAATTCTATGAAATATATAGCAGTGTCGGTGTCATAGATTTTTGACATATCGGTGTCAGAGTATCTGTGTCGTGTCGCAGTGTCCGTGTCGGAATCTGTGCTTCATAGATCTATACGCACTTCCTAACAAGATTGTTTTCATGTTTATCCTTAGGTTTTATGCTATTTAGCATTTTTCTTAGCCCATTCATGTCTAGATACGAGGTAAGGCGGGTGTAACGGAATCAGAACTAGGTTCCAACAACAGTTCAAGCCAAAGGCGAGTGTTACGGCATCAGAACTGGGTGTCAACAACAGTTCAAGCTAAAGGCGGGTGTTACGGCATCCGAACTTGTATAGCTCCTTTGTACTTGACAGCATTTTAAATTACCCCCACAAGCAACATAATGCAAAGGAGAGCCTCCAGACCCTACATCAAATTGCATTAATTAATTAAGTTGAAAGGGGAAAGAACATGAGGTATTTAGCATATAAAACAAAAGACGTCCCTTTAAATCTATTGATGTTCCATGATGAAATGTCACACAAGACATGTCTGCATCAAGATCAAGTAGTAGTTTCACACAACCAAAGTAACCATTTAAAGAAGCCATATGAAGGGCAGTGATACCATCATCAGGTGTCTTATTTACAAACTTTGACAGGGCACTGCACTGAAACAAAGTAAATAAATTGCTAGAATAAAACCGAGATGAATAAAACTATAGTAAATTCAGGTTTAAACTACACAAAAGAACACCAAAATAAAATCTCAATCTCACCATTACCACAATAAAAGCAGCTATATCTTTTACAACTAATGATTTATCCAATAATATGTAAATGTATATTATATAATGAAAAGGAAAGGTGTACATTTCTTCATTTTTGCCTCTCACATTTGATTCACCGTCATTGTCAGCATCTAAGCGAGCACATATAGATTGATAAGGCACCATTAGAACAAAATCAGCCACAACAAGTCTAATACATCTTATATGGCCATTCATTGCTGCAAAGTGAAGAGTTGTTCTCCCACTTAGATAATCTCGTCTGATAACTTGTTATTACATTATCAATGATCTTCGTGAGTCTCCTACAGAAGCAATCGTAATGATAACTAGGGGTGACAAAATGGATGGATTAGATGGATATGGATTGAATTGTTAATGGATGGATCAAAACAATTCATTAGTCCATTAAGAATCCACTAAAATTTTCTTAAAATTATCCAACCCAATCCATTCGTTAAGAATAAAATTCATCCAATTCATCCATTAAGATATTTTTAATGGAAGGATATCCACCCATCCAACATTTTTTTTATTTTGAAAAAACAAACTTTTTTTAAATCGATTTTATTTTATTTTTGAAATATTCATTTTTTGTATTTTAAAAAGAAAATTTGTTTCTATATATATTTTTGAAAAATATTGATTTTTTTGTTTTTAAAAAAAACCATTTTTTGTATTTTCAAGAAAAAAAGTTTGTATTTTCTGGAAAAAAAAATCAATTTTTTGTATTTTCGAAAAAAATAAATTTTTTTCGAGAAAATTTGACTTTTTGTAATTTTTAAAAAATCAATTTTTTAATTTTCGGAAAAAAATTGATATTTTAATTTTCGAAAAAAATCAATTTTTTTCAGAAAAAAGAAGTCAATTTGTTTTTGGGAAAATTCGACTTTTTTGTATTTCCCAAAAAATCGAAATTTTAATTTTAAAATAAAAATCATTTTTTTCGAAAACAAAAATTGGTTTGTTTTTTCGGAAAAAAAAATCGATTTTTGTTTCCGAAAAAAACAATTTTTTTATTTTGGAAAAAAATCCGTTTTTTTTAATTTAAAAAATCAATTCTTTTCTTAAAAAAAATTATTTTTAATTATTTTTAAAAAATAAATATAACGGAAATAAAAATAATGCATTACTTTCTTAAAATATGTTGGATAGGTTGAATCAATCAATGCATATAAATGGATGGATTTTATTCAATCCATTAGCTTACTTTTTATGTTGTGTATGGATTAGATGAATTTTTTTGATGAATGAATTGTATGAGTTTTGGTTTAATGAATCCAATTGTCACCCTTAAGTGTAATCGTAACCGAAATTATAATCATATATTTTTTTCACGATTATTTTATCTTGATCTGTTTTCGTTTCATGCAATTCACATCTTGAATCGCTTTCACCGATTTAGATTTCAACTTTCTTTACACGGATTATCGAAAGAAGAAGAGTGAAAAACTAACCAATTATAAAAAAAGGAGGATGAACTTCAAATAGTGAGAAGCGCAACTGAAAGAGGGTGAACTTCGAATCATGAGAAGCGCAGTTGAAGGAGGATGAACTTAGGGGAAATGGTGAGAAGCGGAGCTAGAGGAGGATGAATTCAGGACAAATGAAAAAGGAGTATGAACGGAGCAAACTTCTTTGAACACTCTTGTTTTTTGGTTTTAATTTTGTTTATTTTTAATTTATAGATTCTGTTTTATTAGATTTAATTTATTAATTCAATTTTTCTTCTCAAATTTTATTTTTATTTTAATTCATAATTTTAATTTTATTAGATATTATTTTAATAATTTATAATTTTAGTTTTGTTTGATTATAAAATATAATAATTTAAGGTTCTTTTTTAATTTTGGTTTTATTTTATTTTAATATTTTATAATTATTGAAGATTTAAACTATTTTAAAATATAAATAATGTAAGACAAAAATATGTAAAAAAATATATTTAAGAAACTGTAACAATTAATATTTTTAATTTTTATTTAATTTCAATAATAATAAACAAAAAAAGACATGGAAACAAAATTTTGATGGGAAATGCCAACTGAACCTACGCCGCCAAATTAAAGAATAAACAAATAATTTAATTAATAAATAAAAATCTAATTCAGCATCGGCGGGCTGCGATGCTGTACTATTTACAAATTAAAGAAAAAAAGGAGAAATTGAATATTTTAAAAAAAGGAAATAAAATACTTTTTGCTCCAATCAATTAGGGTACTAAATAATATAGCGTCGCCAATTACAACGCAAAGTTGTCTACGAATAAAATATAAATCAAAATAAATTTTTTAAATGTGACTTTGGTCGACGCTATCTTTAAAAAGGAAAAACTAAATAGATTTCCCGATTAGTGTCTCTCTTTGGTGACGCAACTCCAATACTATTAGCATCGGAGTCATAACCGACACTAAATTTTTAAGGCTAAAATGCATTTTTTTAGTGGAAGATTTGTGATTGTTGAGGAGATTCGTTGTTGAATGTAATGTTTTTTTAAATATTTATCTAAGATTTAAGAGGTTCGCAAGAGTGTGTAGTGTTGTGATTGGTTTAGACAATTTCAATAAAAAAGAATGAGGTTTTTCTTTCTAGATTAACCTTAGTAGTATTAAATGGAAGTGTTCTGGTCTGGGCCCAGCCTCGCGGTCCAGCCAATAACGCGCGAGGCCCATTAAGTGGAATAGCCCAAGCGGGCACACACCCTCCTAGGACGGGCAAGATACGCTCCCCGCCGAGAGGGACGGCACGTCCCGAAGCGTCCTCGGTGCCCCCTTTTGGCCGAGCAGAACGCCCCCGGGCCATCGGACGAGACAACATGGCCCTTCCGCGTCCTCGCGTGCTCCCCTCCGCGGGGAGAACGACACACCTCCAGGGAACCTCGCGAGCTCCCCTCCGCAGGGAGAACAGCGTGCCCGATGCACGTTTTCCACGTGCTCCCCTCCACGGGGACACGTCACCAACACAACTGCCCACCTCCGAAAGAGCAGGTCAAACCCACTTTCCGAAGATCTCGGGACAGTTGGACTAGGGCGAAGACCACGTCTGGCCTTCACTACGCCACGTAGGCCCTAGTAGTCACTTGGGTTGGGCCTGGCCATCCAGCCCAACTCAAATGACCGTTGGCCCAGCGCTGGGGTCTCTCTATAAATACCCTCTTCCACAAGAGGGTTAGGTAATTCACTTCTTACCCAATTTCTGTATTTTGCTCTCACTCTGCCCAACTCCTTACTTTGGCATCGGAGTGTGCTGCAGGTACACCCCCTTCTCCTCATCACTGGTGAAGAGGTAGCAGTCCAACAGCGCGTGGCCAGCCCGTGATCCCCTCTTGATCAGGTCAGATCAGTGGCGCCGTCTGTGGGAACAGAAACTTCCCCGTTACTCCGAGCAGAGAACCAAAGTTTCATCAACAATCCACGATCATGGCTAGCCCACGCCGTGACGACACTCCGCACGACTTTGTGCTCAACGTCGCCACCAACGGGAACAAGCAGATGGAAGCATCACGTCCGACGGAGACCGACGAGAGAGACGACCAAATTGCCTCACCGTCATCCGCAGAGCGGCTACACCAGGCCGACCGCCGGCCCTCGAGCCCAGCAGCATTCCAACCCGTTCTTATCCCGGCGGGAGCAGACCTAACGGTGGCCGCCCTCTTTGCGGCCATCAACCAGACGAACCAACTGTTATTCCAGCAGAACGCGCGGATTGGAGCATTGGAGCGGGTAGGTCCTCTGAGGTTCCCCCCGCGGTAAGACCAGAATGGAGGCTCGAGGAGTCCCTCACCTCGACCTAGAAATCGCCGACTGCAGCTGGAGAGACACCGAACGCAGACGGTGCGAGAACGCACCAGGTCCCCAGCAGGACAAGTTCGCGAGGGGCGCCGGAACACTGCAGCGATCCCGGCCAGGGATCCTCGCGGCGAAAACCCGGGCAGGAGGCCGAGAACCCGAAACCAGGGGCCTATTCTAAACGGCTCGTCTCCTCATCAGTCCCCTGCTCCTAGCGACGAGGACGATTACCGCACTCCACTGTCCCGGGAAATCATGGCTGCCCCCATCCCCCACGGGATGGAGAAGCCCCCGACACTATCGACGTACGATGGCACGTCCGACCCAGACGATCACTTGGAGGACATCGAAGCCATGCTCGACTACCGAAACGTCCGAGGAGCTATCAAGTGCAGGCTGTTCCCGACGACCTTGAGGAAAGGCGCCATGACATGGTACAAAAGTTTGGAGCCCGAATCAGTCACGTCATGGAGAGTCCTGAAGGACCTGTTCTCCAAACACTTTACGGCGTCCCGGCGGCACCCGAAGACGAAAGCCGTCCTCGGGGCGATAATCCAAGGCCCCGACGAACCTCTCCGAAAGTACATCGAAAGGTTCACCCGGGAAGCAATACATGTAACAACGTCAGACGAGATGAAGCGCTACCTAATGGAGCAGGGTCTACGCCACGACTCCAAATTCTATGAGGCCGTAGGCATACACCGACCAACTTCCCTCCAGGATTTCCTCGACAGAGTCGCATAATACATCTGATTCGAAGAAACACAAGCGGCCAACTCCGCTCGGGACACGCGAGACAGGGAGGCCCCTCGCGGACACCGAGACGATGGAGCCTCAAGCCATCGACAGGGAGGAGACCGCCGTCGCGAAGATCGCCCCCGCAAGCCCCGCGAACAACGCGGCCCTGCAGGTCGATTCATGGAGTACACGGCCTTGGTCGCTTCCCACGAGCGCATACTGGATGAATGCGCCAAAACCGAATTCGTCCAGGGAGGTGTCCGTTTTCCGCGACCGACACCCCCAAACCCAATGTGGACAAATCGAAATACTACCGATTCCACAGGAGCCACGGGCACGTGACCGAAGACTGCATCTATCTCAAGGACGCGATCGAAATTCTGATCAAAGACGGTCGCCTAAAGAGATACACCCGAGGGGGCGAACCCCCGAGGCAAGAAGCCCCGGAGGCCAAGAAAGTCGAAGAACTCCCCTCTCCAGAGGACAACAGCAGACTCCATGTCGCACTTTGCGTCAGCCGCCCCGAGGACTGGTTCGCGGGCAGAGAATTCGGCCTCCCTGAAGGACCCGACCTAGCCAGCGAGCCAATACGGCCGACCAGCCGATGGGAATACTTCCCCAGAGCCATGGTCATCTCAGGTGGAACCACGGGGAGCCTGTCCGTAGGTTCAGTAAAAAGAAGGTTCGACGAGC